TTAAATATGATGCTATTAAAACACTGCAGGCGAAGCGTTCGAGGATCTTGCAGCCACGAATCATAATGATAATCACTGCCATTCGAATTTATTCTCGCCATTTCCACTAATATGATGTTTACTTTGCTTGTTTTTCAGCTGACTCGTACGTTCGCGGTAACAAGGGGCAATATACGTTGTCTTGAAAGCTGGACCTTACTCATTGCTGAATAGTCGTGTGAGGGCGCTTTAGTATCAACAGTCGTCTCAGGATGCCTGCGGGAGTTATTATATTCAAGAGTCAATGTTTGTTGTTAATATTTAATGACTATATATGTATTTTATTCGCAGAATACACATTTTTGTCAATAGGGTAAAACGCTTTCCCCGGCATTGCACGTTTATCGGACGATGAGGACGTTGTTTACTTTTAACATTTCACGGATTAGAAGTTAGACGTTTTTTTTTATATTTTTCAAAACTATAATGTTCTTTGAATTTATGATGTATTAAATGTATGTTATAAAGTTAATTAGCATACTGGTGGGTTACAAACAGTTCTGTATAATGGGAACAATGGGTATATGATGCATCATAATACACTGTAACCTCAATATAATGAACACCTTTATAATGAATTTCCTGATATAATGAACACATAACATGTGCCCCGCTTACAACAAACCCAATGTATTATGTGCTTCAATATAGTGAACATTTCACTATAACAAACTAATTGTATGTTTCCCAAAGAGTTCGTTATAACGAGGCTACAGTGTATGTCGTAATTGCTAAGCTCAATGTCCAGTCCAGTGTCCAATCTTCGAAAAAAAAATATCGTCATTAAGTGAAGCCGTAATTAGTAACTCATATAAACGACGGTACATGAGGCTTATGTCTGTCTGCGTATGTCCACCGGCAGAGGGCGCAGTTTACACAAATTAGCCAGTCTGCTCACTCAAAACACTTATACTTGTATTAATTTACATTCTGTTTATTATATGTATTATTAGAGATGTGAATATGTACATTTTATTTCTATATCAATAACAAATAAAAGAAGATTGAGGTGAAGTTTAATGTGAATACTTTTATGAGTAGGTTTAGTGAAATGTTACGCTAATGCCCTGATTATTATATAACCACTATATATTTCTTTGCACATTATTTTCTGATTAAAATGTAGTGCATTCAATAAAATTTATGTCTGTTCTTTGTTTCACATTTATAATTTTACTCTCTTATGTACAGATTGATTTTTTTCAGGTATATGCAAAACCTCCTACTTCTGTCAGTTCAATAACATCCCGCGATGTTATGCAACTCCAAGCACGCCAGATTTATGTATCATAGCTAGCGTCTCATTAACTATTTTGATGGAACTATACAATGGTCCTAGTATATACTATAAATGCCACACACCACATGTATATTTTACAAACGGTAGTTTGTAAATGACGGATTTCATAATATCATATTGAGATACACCTTTAATTTAAATCTAGCAACGTCAAAACGACAAACGTCACAGCGATGACGCAATTGAGTGTTGGTTATACAGTAGTTCCTCGTTTAGAATGGAGTGCAGCTATAAAACAATTCCATTAACAAACTACTATAGTATGTATGGTATTTTTACCATTACGTCACTGAATAGTTCCGTTGCTAGAAGGCGCTATTAACATGAAAGCTGTATTGATATACCGGAATTGGAATAGATTAGTGAAATACTTTTAACCATGTTCAAATGTTCACAAAAA